TCAAAAATCCAGCTACAGATGTCCAAGTTCAGGCCCAAGCTACACAGTTAGACTGGTTGGTAAAATGGTGTTAAAGACTTAACTGAAGTCCAGAACGAGCAATATGAGATGGATTTCTCCAAGTGCAGGGCGATGTAAAGGGTGATACTGATGGGCTCCTCTACTGACCTGTTTGCATGATATGCAAACTGATGCTGATTTAGTGTGGCAGGGATGGCATGTCAAAGCATTGTGCTATGAAAACTGCTTCATGGCAACATTTTTGGGCAAATATACAACTTTATGCCTGTCAAACTGTTTTCTTTGACATTTATTGTATATTCAACTAAAGAAATTGGTATAATTTATGTGTTTTTGTGATAGTAAAGCACATTGATAGTAACAATGTGCCCAAAGATATAATTTACAATTATTTCTTTGCTAACACTGGTTCAACCCTTGAATTAGGTCCTTTTTTAAATGTTTTTTTTTAATGTTTGACCTTCACAAACTAAAGAGAATCTGGATTCATACATGTAAAATATTTTTAAAAAAATGATAGGTGGCTAACGACTTTTGTGCAGCTCTGTAGTACAAATGTTATTTTAACTATCTAACTAAAAAGCACCTGCCATCTTGATTCACGTGTAATACTCTGATAAATATCAGTGGTATTTATTTTGGGTTTTCATGAGAATAAGTCGAAGAGAAAATAACAGTTCATGGTGAGGTTAAGAGTGGTATAGATATGTGATATAAATGTTTGTATTAAAATGCATAAATAGTGTGTGGAAAAAATCAGTTACGTTAAAAAAACATAATTTCATGGAATGTGAATGTCTGTTAAAAGAGAAGAGGTGTAACTTGTTTTGTATGCTACGTCACGAGAGGTCATGACTTGCAGATGACTTCCGGGGGAAAGAGACTCGAGAGGAAGGACGGAGGAAGAGAGAAGAAAAAAAGGAGGATTACTAAAATGGCGTAGACGAAGCATGGACTTCGGGACTGCTTATGTCACCAAAGTTGTTCGGCAACAACATACCACCCGTCTGCGGACTTCCCGGTAATCATTCGGAGCGTTTGAGCCGGGCTTCCCGTATCTTTTGTGCTTGGCTAAGCACGAGGCAC